ATTGTAAGCATATATGGAAATGTCACAATGAAAACCCCCTGCACAACTAATATTGTATTGACATTTTTATTGTGCTAATAAAAATGTAAAGAAAAAAAGGTTTTTTGGGTCATTTTAAATTATAGCTTCAGAATGTTTTATATGCATGCCATTTAACCCTTCACATAAATCCAGGTAACTACATAAACATAAAAAGCATATTTCCTCCAATGACTTTTTTGGTTCAAGTATCTTCTACCATCACTTTAGTTTTAAAAGAGACATGAGAAATCACAGAGGCAAACAGCCTTTTAATGTAATCAATGTGGGAAAGCCTTCAGAGTGAAATGTTACCTCATTTCTCACAGGAAAACTCACATGAGAATGAAAAATATAAGTGTAAGGCATGTGGGGAAGTCTTCAAAGGTCTCTTAACTCATAAAAATCCACACCAGGGAAAAGAAATCTTTTAAATGTTGTGAGTATAGCAAAGCCTATAGCAAGACTCCATACCTCACAACACTGGAGAAAAGCCATATAAATGTAATCAGCGTGGGAAAAGTTTCATCAAGGAATACATACTCAGGAAAAACTCTGTAAGAGCATTGTCTATAGGAAAGGTTTTGGTAAACTCTTCTCCTTTAGGAATCTCAAGGAAACTCATGATGGATAAAAAACTCTTCAGAGCCAGGTATGGTGGTACACATCTATAATTACAACATTTGGGATGCAGAGGCAAGAAGATTGACTCACGTTCTTTTTTGCTCTCTCTCTTTCACACATACACACAAGAAAGCTTCTAATGACATAAATGTGGCTTAGCTTTCAATGAATTCTCAATTTTTTTTTCTTTTCCTGAGACTGGGGTTTGAACTCAGGGCCTCAAACTTGCTAGGCAGTCACTCTACTACTTGAGCCACTCTGCCAGCCCAAGCCCTGAATTTTTATTCACTAAATCTAGCAACTCTTTCTTTAGATTCAGCTATCCATTTATAAGAAACACAAAAAAGCCCGGTGCTGGTGGCTTGCACCTGTAATCCTAGCTACCTGGAAGGCCGAGATCAGGAGGATCAGGTTCAAGACCAATCATGGGTAAACAGTTCCGGAGACCCCCATCTCCAAAATAACTGAAGCAAATTGGACTGGAGATGTGGTTGAAGCCATTATATATTTTTCAGCTTTACTGAGTATTTTTTTTAAGTTTTGAGGTGTGTTGGATTTTTTTAAAAAGTATGTGTTTTAAGTGTACAATTTGATGACTTGACACACACATACATTGAGAAACGGTAACGACAATTAGGGTAACATATCCATCACTTTTCATAGATACTAGGAAAAACGTACTTTAAACTTGAAATTTTGCTAAGGGAGTTATGTACATTATCTCATAATCTTCTATAAGCCGGCGACTACTGTGCTGTTTTCCAAACTTTGCAAAAGAAGGAACTGAGGCATAGTGCGAAGTAACTTTCCCAGGTGAAAAACAGGATTGGTCTCCAGGAACTGCAGCTTCAAACCCCATACCAATAACCACAGCAAATCCTTGCTCCGAAATTCAATGTTTATTTTAATTGCTTGCATTTTGCTCACAGTCCAGGAATAGAGGGTGTAACACGCTTTTGTCACCATGAAGGTACAGGGACACGGGAGTACATTAGAAAAACCTGAAGCTAGTGCTTCAAGAAGCAAGATTCTTTCTCTTACTTTTCTCTGCCGGGAAAGGGAAGGGGAGGGTGTCGGAGAGTCAAACGCACTTACGCGTCTCTGAGCGTCCCAATGGGTAGAGGCGAGCGAGCGGATTACGTCATCAAGGCGCGCTCCGCTGAAGTCGGTGGGGGGCAAGGAGAAAGGGTGCTAGGCTTGGCGAGGTCCCTTTCAACAACCGTGCGAGCAGATAGCTCCGCCCCCGTCCTGAGCTCCCTTGCCCCGCCTCGCCCCGCCTCGCCCCGCCATCCTCGCCTCCTGGGCGTCAGCTTCCTGGATCTCCTTACCCTTAGCTAGACGAACGAGAAGATACCGCCTGCTTCTAGAGCAGCCCAGCCAGGCGCGTAACCGGACGGCTAGAACGTGAAAGGAAAGCCGTGCACGGCTGCGTTTTCCTTCCCCCGAGCCATTCTAGACGCCGGTGAGTGCCAAGACCTCGGTCCCCAGCCCAAGTGCAACCCGAAGCGGCTGGACCTTCCCATCCCCTGGTGATACCTGGGCCCTAGACCATTCCCAGCATGCTCCATGCAGGATGCCAGTGCAGGTGCAGAGGGAGGACTGTGAGCAGGAGAGATAGAGAGTCCCCTTGCTAGAGGTGCTACCTTAGCGTCTCAGGGGGGTCTTGAGATGACCATGTCCTCCTTGTAACCCCCCATTCTCCATTTTGTCTTCCCTTAACCACAGTCCACACCATTAACTTTCACCTTCTAAAGAAATTCCTCAAAAACCACTTGGGTAGTTTCTGCCTTCTGTGTGCAGTTTTTCTTTCTGTGTGCAGTTTACTTTGTATAAAATAATCCTTTCGTGTCCATCCCCAGTATTATATTTTTTGCCTGCCTTGGTGGGAAAAAAATCTTAGAATAATTTGTGCAAATGCTTTGTATAAAATTTGTAGACTTCTTGAGTTATGATCAGTATTTTCTGCAGCCAAGAGTAGAAGCCCCATCAGAAAAACTTTCGAAATATACATATGCCATAATCATATATTGGCTAGAAATCGTGAAAATTGTGTAATTTAAAATGCAAAAATCTTACGCCAGTTAATTTTAGAATGCATTTGACAATCCTGGTTTTTAGGCAGAGCTTTTCTGTCGCTTCTCTTTTCCTCTTGGAAACGTGTTTATTGACCAGGTTCTGTGAGTGACGGGAAGTCTACCATCCTGCCTCTTTCCCCACTCCACCCTCTCCCCCACTCGGGAATTGCTCTACCAATCTATTCCACACCTTGTCCTGGTAGAAGTCAAAGTCCATTTCCTCTAGAAGAAACCATGGGAATAGCTATCTTATAGCAATACAGCGATGTGTCCAAATGTGCTCAGTAGATCCCACATTTTCTTCATTTATAAGAAAACAAGATTATTCAGCAACTCATTTATTAGACTCCATAATACAGTAGAAGCACTATGTAGATTACTGTTCTATAATAGAAAAAGCATTAACCTGATGTCAGGAGATCTGGTTTCTAATCCCCTTCTACCACTGATTAGCTTTGTGACTTTGGATCAGTTACTTAATCTCTGGGGTCCTCCATTTCCATATCTATAAATTGAGAGAAATGATATTAACTAGGCCCTAATGTCAGTAAGGTCCCTTTCAACTTTAAGAAACAAAGGAAATCTATGGAGAGCAGCATGAAGGTTCCTCAAAAAACTAAAAATAAAACTACCATAGGATCCAACCATACAACTCCTGGGCATATACCTAGAGGAATGTGCTCCAGGATATGATAGAGCCACTTGCACACCCATGTTTATTGCAGCACTGTTCACAATAGCCAAGCTTTGGAAGCAGCCCAGATGCCCCATGACTGATGAATGGATTAAGAAAATGTGGTTTATATACACAGTGGAGTTTTATTCAGCCATAAAGAAAATTGAAATTATTGTTTGCAGGTAAATAGATGGATCTGGAGATCATTGTGTTAAGCAAAGTAAGCCAGGCTCAAAAAGTCAAAAGTCACATGTTTGCCCTCATATGTGAAAGCTAGACCTCCAGATTAAATGTACACATATATATATATATATATACACACATATATATACACACATATATATGAAACAGAAAACAAGATTGTTAGTGGGTCTGTCTGAGGGGACTACAGGAGGCAGGAGAGGAAAAAAGAATGTTAAGAGAGTGAAAAATATTGAAACATTACATCTGTGTATAAAGATAACAGTGCACTGTAAGCTTTTGAATAATAGGGGATCATGGTGATAGAGTAAATAATGGGGGAGTTAATCTGATTAAGGCATGATATATGCATGTCTGAAATGTCGGGTGAAACCCCTTTAAGCATAAAATGAAGGACAGGCGGGTAAAATAGGTCTTTTCTGGGGGTGGGTATCAGTGGGAGGAGAAGGACAAAAGGAAAGGGTGAATATGGTGGATATATTTTGTATTCATATATGAAAATAGAAGAAGGAAACCTGTTAAAATTGTTATAAGAAGGGGGAGGGAGGATGAGGGAGAATGATAGGAGTGAATCTAACTTGATATATTGTAAGCATATATGTAAATATCACAGTGTAGTCCCCTGTACAACTGTTACATGCTAATAAAAAAAAGACAAAACAGGAAAATCTAAGTAGCTCAGTAGAATATTCTTTGTGGCATTGGAGAGGCAAATGGGAAAATCTCAGCCTTTACTAGCATAAATGTGGAGCATGCAGTTTTTCAGCAGTTGTATATAATGTTAGCTTTTCCCTTGTAATTCTAGTGGAAATAAAGATGTAGACTTTCCGTTTTATTTCCCCAAAGAAAAAATGCCTTTTGAGTAAATAAAAATGTTCACTAATGGTCCTCAGATATGCCTATATTGACTCATTTTCACCAAATAACTATTTTCATTATGGGCCTTTATTACATTAATAGTTGGGATACTGATTTGTAAAACATTTAGTCTTAGAAATAGAAGGGTAAATATTAACATATGGTATAAATCTCAAGAAACCCGATTTAGTATACTCCAAATACCTAAGGACATTAGCCATCAGTTAAAGCACTAAATTAGATAGATAAACTTGAATTCACACTGAACTTACCTGTTCAATTTAAAGTACGTTGTAAAGATTCATTCATAGACTGGGGGTATGCCTGGCAAGTCCAGGACCCTGAGTTCAAACTCCAGTGCCACAAAGGGGGAAAAAACCCCATTTACATCTTCAGAGGTATTTAATATAGTGCAAGTTTGTAATATAAAATTCTTTAAACAGAATGGACAGACAGCCTCTGTAACATTAGTTTCTAATACTAATGCTTTGATTTAGTAGTTGGTTAATTAAATTCCCATAGATGAAGTGCAATAGCCTCTCTGCAGTAAATTCTGCTCAATAGAGGAGTTTCTGCAAAGTTCCAGTTTATACCAAACTATAATCAGATACCATTGGAAGCAAAAGATTCTGAGAGTGCTTTGGTACTGTATGCAACTAACTTGATGTCAAGCTTGAGAACCTTTTTTTTTTTCACTGTGAAAGCAAAATGTAAGTATACAAGGAATACCAAATGAGGTTACTAGACTACGTACTTAAGAGTCTTTTTCTTCTTTATAGGAAAAATGCTTTCTGAAAGCAGTTCATTTTTGAAGGGTGTGGTGCTTGGAAGCATTATTTGTGCTTTGATCACTATGCTAGGACATGTTAGGATTGGGCATGGAAATAGAATGCACCACCATGAGCATCATCACCTACAAGCTCCTAACAAAGAAGATATCTTGAAAATTTCAGAGGATGAACGCATGGAGCTCAGTAAGAGCTTTCAGGTATACTGTATCATCCTTGTAAAACCCAAAGATGTGAGTCTTTGGGCTGCAGTGAAGGACACTTGGACCAAACACTGTGACAAAGCAGAGTTCTTCAGTTCAGAAAATGTTAAAGTATTTGAATCAATTAATATGGAAACAAATGACATGTGGTTGATGATGAGAAAAGCTTACAAATATGCCTTTGATAAGTATAGCGACCAATACAACTGGTTCTTCCTTGCATGCCCCACTACATTTGCTATTATTGAAAACCTAAAGTATTTTTTGTTAAAAAAGGATCCATCACAACCTTTCTATTTAGGCCACACCACAAAATCTGGAGACCTTGAATATGTGAGTGTGGAAGGAGGAATTGTCTTAAGTATAGAATCAATGAAAAGACTTAACAGCCTTCTCAGTATCCCTGAAAAGTGTCCTGAACAGGGAGGAATGATTTGGAAGCTATCTGAAGATAAGCAGCTAGCAGTCTGCCTGAAATATGCTGGAGTGTTTGCAGAAAATGCAGAAGATGCTGATGGAAAAGATGTTTTTAATACCAAATCAGTTGGGCTTTCTATTAAAGAGGCAATGACTAATCACCCAAATCAGGTAGTAGAAGGATGTTGTTCAGATATGGCTGTTACTTTTAATGGACTGACTCCTAACCAGATGCATGTGATGATGTATGGGGTGTACCGTATTAGGGCATTTGGACATATATTCAATGATGCATTGGTTTTCTTACCTCCAAATGGTTCTGACAATGACTGAGAAGTGGAGGAAAAGCATGTGTTTGGTCATCATATAAGACATGTTGTTATTATTTGTAGTAATGATTACATATTCAACACAGTGGTGTGTTTCTTTTCTAATCTGGAGACACTGGTATAATCACATTAATGTTTACTAGTACATTTTTAAATGGGGTGGTATTTTTTCCTTAAAACTTGTGAAATTTTTAAATGTGTTGGAAAAAAATCTTAAGAATAATTTTTCAAAAAGATATATTTATAAATGTTATTTATGTGATAAATCCTCAATTATGAACATTAAAAATCTGTGTGGCACATATTTTTTTCTGAGTGTTTAAAAATTTAATTTGTCTTTTTAGCTTTTTAATATATGTAAATGAAATATCCAGTTGTGAATTTATGATTAAAATAAAAGTTTTAGCTCTGTTTCCTTTACTTCAAATGTAGATTTATGCTCTGAGCTTCCCCAACTGCCAATGGATTTGTCTTCTCAAAATACACAACTGTGCAACTAAGGAAATTTTCCTAACCAATCTTAAACTTGAATTCTGTCCCTGAGAGTAAAAGTGAAAATTACTTAAAGGGTAAGTACAATTAGCGGTGTGGCTCAAGCAGAAGAACACCAGCTTTCGGAGTACAAAGCCCTGAGTTCAAACCCCAGTCCCAAGGGAAAAAAAAGTTTTGACTGGTGGGGTGGCTAAAGTGGTTGAGCACCTGCCTAACAAGCATAAGGTCCTGAGTTCAAACCCCAGTACCACAAAAAATGGTAAGTAATTTTCCTGGGAGATAATGTAGTGGCATTCCTCAGCATACATAATTTCCATGTAACTGTCTGTACTTTGGCATGCAGATATTAAATTTGGAGTGTTGGCCATGAGGAATGTCATCTATCTGCAACTTAAATACAAATGTATCACTTGAGATTTATTTGTCCTTGCTGGACAAATGAGTTCTGTGAAAATCCCCTTAGAAGTACTTGTTTTGGCCATCTTTTTTTTAAATCCACATACTTATTATTTCTTTGTTTTTAAAAATTAAGGCAATTATCCAAATGAAAATGAGAATTAAGACAGTTTCCCTTACCTAAATTGAGTCTATCTTATTTTTTGTTTTGGTTTTTGGAGGGACTAGGGTTTGAACTCAGGGCTTTGTGCTTACAAAGCACGCATTCTACAGCTTGAGCCACACCTCCAGTCCATTTTGCTATGGTTATTTTCGAGATGGGGTCTCGTGAACTATCTGTCCAAGCCGGCCTCGAACTATGATCCTCTCAACCTCAGCCTCCCAAGCAGCTAGGATTACAGGCATAAGCCACTGGCACCCAACCTTTTAAAATTTTTTTTCTTTTATGTATACCTCCATTTTTGTTTGGTTGGTTTTTGTTGTTACTGTTCTTTTTCCCAGGTTCATATAGTTGTACCAGACACAACTGATTTTGGTGTGGAGACCCTAACCTCACAATCCATGTTGGAATGCCATACCATAGTAATTTCAGTTACTATCAAGAATCTTTATGCAGGAGTGGATACAATTGCTCTTGTACTCATAGATATATAACATATGTGGAGCTGACTTGTCCTATAATTTGACCACCAATGCCATATTTATCTCCTATAGGGTATGACACCATTACATTTTAGCTATCAGTATTCCTTATAACTGGCCTCAGGATGCTAATGGTCCCCCATAGCTTTAGCAAACCAGAAAAAATTTCCTCAGGAAAACTTTGGCTTCATATTATTAATCCTCACAGTAGTGTGTCAAATCCTTTGTTTTGTCTGATCTTTTTCATTGGGACTTTTAATTAAGATGAAACATTAATTTTGAAGAAAAATCCTCTTTAGCAGACACCTTGATACATGGTGTCAGGTACAATTATTACAGATCAAATCATGTCCAGTGTGAGTACAATGAAAAATGTATCTTTCCGAGGTGAGACACTGCCCCCAACACCAATATATATACATTTTTCTATTTGTATTGTGTCACCGTTCCCCAAACACCAGTATATTTAATTTTTTATCTTTAATTGTGGTAGTATATCAAAGTATTATAATAAATATGTCAGAGAATGCATTCCATTGCTCGATTTGCTAATAGGTACTAAGTTAATGACCTTTTAAATTGATGCACAATCATATTTTTATACATGAGTATTCCATTGTAAAATGTCTCAAATAATATGCTTTTTGAACTAATATCCTGTCTTGTAGATAAAATCTGAATCACCAACAGAAAATAGTGTTGCTCAGGTCATGGATACAGATTTGATCTCCATATATGTCAGTTTTATGTAGAAAAATAATACATTCAGTAGCCAAAAACTAACCATAACCCCACTCTGTTGGGGAGAAAGTTGGAAAGAATGAAGGTCTAATAGAAGTTGATCTGGAATATGAATATACTTTTGTGGCTTATGGCTACCATATTGTAACATGCATGTCTAAGCAATTCCCAAACCCCCTGAGATGTGAATGAGAGAAAACTTGAAGTTTCTTCTAAAAGTTGTATTTATTTTTCTGGTTGTGTTGAGTGCAGTAAAAAATGCAACCTTTTAGCAGGTCCCAAGCCATTTTTGTATGAGGTTCTGCTCAAAACTAAAACATAGGATGTGAAGCAAAATACAAATTAGACTCCTTGGTTTTGTTTATTTCAATGTTGCAAAAAGGTTGCTGTGTATCAAATCTGATTTATAAAGTGGACACATATATATTAGAAATGTTGCTGAAAGCAGTGTAATAATGATGTATCATTAATTTCCCCTTCATTTTTTGAGAATGTTGTGTTCCTTTTGGTACAAGGCAGAGTTCAAAGCATTCAGTGCATGCCTGAATGGTTATGTGACTATGAAACAGGTACAGAGTGAGGGGTACTAGTGGGAGGGGGAAGAATGAATGAAGATTAAGGTGATGGTATATAGTTGATGGACTTTATATACCTATATGAAACAAAATTAAGAAACCTCTTGCAATTGCTTTAAGTGAGGTGGGGAGGGGTTGAGGGGGACAGACAATGGGGGCGATGTAACTAATGTACAATATAAGTCTAATCGGAATTGTCACTATGAATCCCTTACCTGTATATTGAATTATATCCTAATAAATTTATAAATGAAGGAATACTGCCTTTTCTCCCATGTTTTTCACATGTTAAACGTGAGCCACGTGTAATTTTAAATTTTCTAGAAGCCACATTTAAAAAGTAAAAATACAAAGGTGAGATTTTAGTAATATATTTTATTTAACCCAATATATCTAAAATATTGTCATTTCAACATGTTAACAGGAAAATATGTTTACATTCTTTTTTGTATTAAGTCTTTGAAATTCATTGTGTAATTTACAGTTACAGCATGTATGAATTCAGACTATAACATTTCAAGTGTTCAGTAGCCACATATGACTAGTAGCTACCATATTGTGCAGCACAGGTCTAACCAGTTCCAGAAACGAGGCCCTCCCAGGGTAAAATGTGTATGGAGGAAAACAGAGTTTCTTCTAAAAGTTGCATGGAAGAAAACAGAGTTTCTTCTAAAAGTTGCCTTAAATTCAATGGAAACTGAAACCTGACTTTTAGCAGGCCCCAGGCCATCTGCTTGCATGAGTTCAATCACTGAATTCTCAAATATTAAGTTTGGGGCAAAATATAGATTAGACCTCACAAGTTTTTCCCTTACATTATAACTGAACCAAAACTGCTGTCATTAACTTTAATATTCACTGATCTTTCCCAATTATCTTCAAAGCAACTGTTAGTCCTACCCTTGCACACTCTCAAAATTCCACCTCTTTTGTTTTGTTTTTGAGACAGAGTCTCACTGTGTAGCTCAGGCCTTGAACTCATGATCCTCTGTCTCTCAAATCCTGGGATTACAGATGTGCACCACCACACCTAGCATTACCCCCACTTAACGAGCCCTTCCCCTTGAGTCCTTTTCTAAAGATCCAGCAAAGGCTTCTAAACAGCATAATGGTCACAAATCACCTGGGTTGAAGGTGACTAATAACAGCAAAAGTTTAGACATCAGGAATGCATTCAATTTCAAAAGATTACCCTAGTATACCTTGCTGTTGAAAACAGAAAAACTTAGCAGCACAAGATACCATGTAAGCATCCTACACACCTCAATTAAACCCTACCCACATTATACTATACAACAGAAATTGTCCATTTACACCTGTCCAATAACCTATAACAATGGTGATTCAAGTATGGGCTAAGAGTAACATTTTATAATATTCAAGGGAAGACTTTTCTGAAGAACATAAGCTTTGCAGTCAGGTGGAACTAGGTCCAAATTCCAGTCCTGCCATTTATTAGCTATGTATCTTCAGGTTAAGTTATATAACATCTCTGAGCCTTAGTTTCCTCATTTGTACAATGAGAATTATAATCTACCTCCTGGAATCACAGTAAAGTTTAAACAAGGTATCTAAGTGGAGTTTGTACACATAATAGGCTCCCAAGAAATGCTATTTCCTTTTCCTTATTCATTTAACAAGTTTAACTAGCACTCCAAACAGTTAAATATGTATCAATCCTTTGTATTAAATATCTTGATGGTACGATACTTAAAATACTGATGTAACAGTGGTATTAAATATTCAGATTCACAGGAAACTCCTGAAGTTTCAAGATAACATCTATACATCTAATCTGTGCATGTGATAAAACAGCTTTTCCTGAAACAGCCTTTTAATAAATTTTTAGTGATAAATTTACAAATTGCTTTTAAAAACACTAGCTTAGAATATCTTCCCCTTTCACAGTAAAGTAGGTATTGTTGGAGCCAAAATTTCCAAAATTGATGTGGTTTCTATCTTCCCACACTTTAATCAAGATGTTTCTCTTATTATTATTATTAAAGTGAGATTCTTGCATCCAGTAAATGCATCTGGGCATTTGGTACATGAGAGAAAATTGTGTCTGACAACAGCCAAAGGCTACTGAGGCCATGTGCTTCGAACTTATGCATTCAGAAGCAAGAAAGCAGACTTACTTTGTGGACTACTTTCCAGACATTTTATAAAATAAGGAATTTTAACCTTGTGAAACACGACATAAAATAAGTACAGTATAAGTACCTAAGTTTTTAATATATTTTAGCTTCTACTATTTTCTTTGGTGATACTGGGGTTTGAACTCAGGCCTCACACTTGCTACATAGGTGCTCTACCACTTGAACCACTCCCCCAGCCCTTTTTTGTGTTGGTTATTTTCTAGATAAGGTCTAAAGAACTATTTATTCAGGCTGGCTTTAAACCGCGATCCTTCTTATCTCTGCCCCCTAAAAAGCTAGGGTTACAGGCAAGATCCACTGGTGGCCAGCAACCTTCACTACTGTTTAAATAGAATAAACCAATCTCAGTGAAAAATATTTTCCAGTCACATGCTTTTAAAAAGCTTTTTAACAGGGCTGATGGAATGGCTCAATCTGTAAGAGCGTCTGCCTAGCAAGCATGACTCCCCCACATGGCTTCCTCTGAAGCAAAAAGGGAATTAAACATTTTCATTTCAAAGCAT